TTAATTAATTAAGTTAATGAGGAATTAAAATGTGATAATTTGATGTGTTTAATTTTTTTAATATAAATTTTTAAAATATAATTTAATTTCAATTGAAAAATAAATTAAAGAATATTTGTTATTAAACTTTTCTTAAACAATGTATTGAATAGTTAATATCACTCTAGTATTAATTTATTACAATTTAAATTTTTAATAAATTTGATTTATTTTTAATAATATTTTTATTTTAGTAATTTAAAATTAAAGTTAATCTTCATTTTGTTAATATTGAGACCAAAGTTTATTTTTAAAGTATATTTTAAAAATTAAATTATTTTTAAAAAATAATTTACTTTTAAAAAATAAATTGTAAAAAATATACTAAAACAATTAAAGTATATTTATAAAAAAATTAATTTAAATATAATAAAAAAATAATATTCATTAGCGATTTAAATATAATAAAATAATATTCATTAGCGAATTTCAATTCAGCTATTTTCTCATTAGCGATCGATTTTAATTTGGTCACTATTTCAATTTGTGATTCGATCGCTAAATCGATTCGCTAAATGATTTTTTTATTTTAGTATGGAATAGCCATCGATTTAGCGACTGAAATTTTGCGACGCAAACTATTGGTCGCTATTTCGGTCGCTAAATAAAAAAGTGAAACCAAATCATATTTTGGTGGCTAAATCGGTCGCTAAATTGCGACTGAATTAACTCGGTCGCTAATTGCGACTGAATTAAAGTGGTTGCTAATTGCGACCGAATTAAATCGGTCGCTAATTGCGACCAAAATTAAATCGGTCGCTAAATCGGTCACTAATTTCGGTGGCTAAATGTGTTTTTTCTTGTAGTGTTCCCTCATGAGTAACCTCGAGAACTTCCCACATTTCCTTGGCAGATTTACATTGAGAGACCCTGAAAAACTCATCCATGTTTAGTGCAGAAGTAATTATGTTTTTAGCAGTACAATCACTTTAAACTTTTCTTTTCTCTTCATCATTTTAACTAGACCATTCTTTTTCTGTAATTAATGGACCATTAACAATTACATCCCAAACATTCCTATCAATGGATTCAATAAAGATCTTCATCCTAATCTTCCAAAATGGATAATCTGTACCACAAAACAGTGGAGGTCTATTAATAGAAGCTCCCTCCGAAAAAGGTATTTTGTTTTCAGCCATGAAAGGTTTGGACCGAAAGTCTTGAGTATTTTTCAAGACCCTTGCTTTGTTACCAATTGTTAGAAAAGGAGGTTGAGATCAAGAGGGGGGGTGAATTGATCTTTGAAAGATTTTCGCAAATTAAAGATTATTTATTTCAAAGATTAAGAGTTCTGACTAATTCTCAAATCAAACAGAACAAACAATCACAATAGAAGCAACAAAAGAATTAAAGAGAGAAAGGTTTAGAAAGATACAACCAAGATTTATATTGGTTCACCCAAATCCTAGGGCTGCGTCCAGTTCCCAGCCAAATTCTAGCTGAGTTCCACTAGATTGAGTATTTTACAGATTACAATTCCAATCACACACCCAATCTACCACAAGAACCAAAATTCCAGTCCTTGCGCCTAAACCTTCACCAAGAACCAACTTCTAGTTCTTGAACAACCCTGCAGCTGAATTCCAGCCACAGAGACCAGTGCCCACACTTCCAGACACACACAATATAGTAAAGAAAAGTAAAGAAACAAAGAGAAGAAACTAGAACACTCAAATCTGGTTTATGAAGCTCTGCAGAATGAGTTTCTTCATCAAAAGAATGCAAAATTTGCCTCAAGAAAGAACTTCAAAAAACTTCACAAAACTTGCATGATTCTTTCTTGAAAGTAGCTCTTATGATTGCTTGATTGATTGCTCAAAGGTATATTTTAAAAGACTCAAGCAATCCTGTTTATATAGAAGATTTTTCAAACCGCTGGTTTAATTAATCTGTTAAAATAATCTTTTAATCTGTTAAAAGTCTTGAATTAATCTGTTAAAACTTCTTTTAATCTGTAAAAATGTTCTTGATCATTTTTCAGATTTGTTTTAACTGATACGACAATGTTTATATCAATTATTTTTCCACAAGTGAGTTGTGGATTTTTCCATAACCTGTGGAAATTCAAGACGGTTATGAGAAGTGGTAACTACCTCAACAAGTGGAGAAAAAACGTGGAGAGAACCTATAAAGAAGGTGGAACGAAATTGAAAAAGAGGGACTGGACAACCATTCTCCATGTTACGTTCTAGTTATTATCTTTTGGCAGTTTTTATATTATGTAGAACTGATTTTCCTTTTTTGTTAGAGGATTGATGTTGTACTTTGAATTATATTTTCTTGTTCTTGACAATTGATGTTTAGTTAATGTTCTTTATCTCAGTGTTCTATTTATAATTCTCAAGTTCATTTCACGAGCAGTTTCACAATTGGGAGATTAGAGGTTGTTCGCGATCCTAAATATAACAGGTTAGGGTTTGTCACAATTGAAAAATTGGGCATATATTTAATTAGTTTACAATAGATAAGATTATTGTTTTTTTCATGATTCTATTGAATGGCGTAACTGACCTAAGGGATTGGGGGTTCGGATTCAATGAATAGTTTTGCCTACTAAGGGATTAGGAGTAAAACAACTCTGGGTAAACTCAAGTGGATAATTACATTTCTTGCATCAATTGAAAGGACTGGAATTATATAGGAAATGATATGAAATCAATTCTCTAACAGATCTTATTTTGACTAAAGTTCTTATTATAATTTTGTGTTTGTTTTTTTTATCCAAATTTTCAATTGCTCAAACTTACTTAAATTAGAAATAAGTATTCAACAAATTCAATCTCAGAGGACGATATTTTATTACTACACTAACGATTGGTACACTTGCCAAACGTTCATCACGTCTCTCTTCTTTTTGAGTAGTGTGCTGACGGCTTGCATCTTGGGTACAGACTCGATTGTTGTTACTTGATGTGTTTCTTATATCAGATCATGTTTCTTCTTCTTAATATGACGTGGAGATATGTGATACTTTCCTTTTCAGACTGCAGAAACTTGTCAAGGGGGTGAAGATTGCCTCATCAGAATGCACAATTGTCTTCGCAATTCTTCTTAATGCTTTTTAAATGTCTCCATCTCATCCTAATATATCTTTTCCAATTTTTTCTAGTTCTTCTTAATTCTTTTTCTTCAGATTCACAATATATTAATGTTTGATGAACCAGCCTTTTTTAACCATAGTATAGTGTGGTGATGAACTGGTCTAATAGTAGTGTGTTTGATGATCTAATCAAAACTTTGAACCGTAGTAGTGGGATAATTTTACCAGAATCCATGATAGATATAAAATATTTTACTAGATAATAAGACTTCAAATAAGTGCTCAATTAAACCGAACTAAACAATACCACCTTTAAACCTTTAATGCGGAGTTCCAGAAGAGAAAAATCCATTAAAAATATTATGATATTTAAATTAATATTAATATAAAAATAAATAATAATATAATAAACTATTAGAATATGAATTGTGTATATAAAATAATATTATTGTATTTACAAATTTCTTATCGAACTATTCTAAGTAATAGATAATATTAACATTGTTATACAATAATTTATAATATTCTTTTTATTATATTTTAAAGTATAATTTAACAATATGATATAGTATTCTTTGTTTTTAGTTTTAGGTTTCCCAATGTTTCAACAATATTGTATCTGCTCTATGAGAATATGGAATCCCTCACCATTTCCACTCCCTCAACACCAATGGCTTCCACCTTCTCCACTCCACAATATCCTCCAATAACTTCTCCTCCTTTTTCTGCTTCCCAATACTACTTTGTCAAAATGTTAGAATATAGGTGTGAATATTGTTCTCTCCTGTATACATTAAGAATATATGATTTATTCAAAGAGTAGATTCATTTTCTGTTACTACTTTTATACACTATCCACCACCAAAGTGTAGGAGATGACAAAAAAATTGTAGTTAATGTAAGACTTTAAGTTGAAGTCTTATCATGTAAAATAAAAAGTTAAATATATATATATATATATATATATATATATATATATATATATATATATATATATATATATATATATATCGAAGAAAAGTACATACAACATGTAAGTCTTGAACGTGGGATGTTCTATGGATTAATTTGTAAACATAAATGAAAGTCTTAATCTTGTTATTTTTTATAGATTAATTAATGATAGTAAACTTTATGCCACTTGTTGGCTGAGAATGAATTGAACGGGTTTATTGTTTAAATCCAGTTTGTGAATAACTCGTTGTCATACACAACCAAGAAAGTTTCGTTCTTTTAAATTATTTACATTAATTAAAAAAAATCCACTGCGAGTTTGAATTTTCACGATAAATGTTCATGTTTACTATCTCACCATAATTCGAATGTGGTTGTTTATAATATAATAAATATGATAAAAAGAACTCCTTTTAATAAATACTTCCCAATAACTTCTTCTGATAATATAATAATAATTTTATTTTTTTATTTTAATTAATTTTTTTATGATTATTATATTAAAGAGTGACTTATTCAATATACAATTATTGAACAACTTAATTTTATTAAAAATCTCTTAACATTATTACATTAATAAAATAAAGTTATAAAACGGTTATTTAAGAAGAATAGGGTGTCAAGATTTTCCGAGTTTAGAACAACGTTACATATGCAAGCCATTACCAAGACATGTATAGTTGTAGTAATACACTTTAGTTTATTATCAACTTGATCTAACTTTTATTCTAAGTAACCATGAATACAAGCTGCATTTATTGGAGAGAAGGGGAAATCTAACTTCTGTAAACTACCTACAGTACACCAAAATATCCATGAAGCGTGACACAGACAGAAAATGAAACAATACAAGAAAACCAGAAGCCTAAATTCAAAAAAATCATTGGAGCCTTGTGTGTGAAACGTCTTATTTATCCTTAAATGGACACTAATTGATGGAGGCGTTTTGCAGTGGAGAAATTGTTGCCTAAGGGTTGTTGGTTTTCCTTTTCTCGCTTTCGTCTTTGGTGTTCTTTTCTTTCTTTTTCTTTTCCTTTTCTGTCACCTCTTCAATGTCATTTTCACAGCTATAAGAAGTGTTTCCAGTTAGAGCATTCTCCTGAGGTGTTCTGCTTTCTTTTGCATTTGTTTGTGGGCCGCTACCTAACCCAGGATTGTGTGTCGTTTTTTCTTGTTTTTCTGAATCGCTCTCTTTTGTCACTTCTTCAATGCCACCTTCGCAAGTACAAGGAGTGTTTTCGATTTGAGTATTATCCTCAAGTGTACCGTTTTCTTTCCCTTCTGCATTTGTTTGCGGACCGCTACCTAACCCTGGATTGTGTGGAGTTTTTTCTAGTTCTTCTGAACCGCTCTCTTCTGTCACTTCTTCAGTGACACCTTCGCAGGTACAAGTAGTGTTTTCATTTTGAGTATTAACCTCAAGTGTATCGTTTTCTTTCCCTTCTGCATTTGTTTGTGGACCACTACCTAACCCTGGATTGTGTGGCGTTTTTTCTTGTTCTTCTGAACTGCTTTCTTCTGTCACTTCTTCAAATACACCTTCGCAGGTACAAGTAGTGTTTTCAATTTGAGTATTATCCTCAAGTATGCTGTTTTCTTTCCCTTGTGCATTCGTTTTCGGATCAGTCCCTTTCCCTGGGTTGTGCACCGTTTTTTCATGACTTTCTGAATCACTCTCTTCTGTCCCAATTTTTTCTTTTTCAGTGTTCTCGCAACCGCATTCTCTGATATGGTTACAAAAGACATGCAAAAAATGTGGTTAATTCATGTTAATTCTATAACTAACCATGGTAACCAAATATGAAAGTAATACAACTTCACGAATAACCATTCTTGTGACACTATCATTGGAAGGGTGGATGAAATTTAAGAGGACACTCTTAAATATATATATATATATATAACACTTACATGGTCACTGTGGTAGGTTCGTGTGTGGTAGATTCGAACCTTTGCAGCAGTGGCTTGTGCATGGAGCTAACTTCAGTAGGAGCCATGAAGAACAGACCAAATTGAAGTTGATTTTGTCTTATGATCGGATATAGTCATGCAGAAATTTCTGACAGCCCAAACCGTTAGTGTATGGTTTTTGTTCTCGGTGTAGTGATAAGTTGAAGGTGTTTGGGATTTATAGGGACAAAGAATGCATGTTCTTCTGATTGGAAGAAACTGTTTGAAGTTGTCAATGCAACGCGTCTCTATTTTTCTTGGTAGGGATGGATGGTCCTATTAGGTGGCGTGACTGAGCAATAATAATTCACACTCTGTCCTCTCTCTCTATCACTCACACATACACACGCATATACATATCGAACATGATATTTCTACAACACAATCATACAACTCATATAAATAATTATATATTAATATTATAATAATAATTTTGTTTTATTTTTATTTTTATTCAATCATTTTATAGATTATTATATTAATAAAATGAGTTGTTTGAATAGTTATATGTTTGATTATCAAAATATCACCAATTCAATATGTAATTCTTTTATGGTTCATATGCATATAATAATCATATTCATAGTGTCTTTACAGTAAAATAAATATAGAATTTAATTATATCGTATGATTGTGGTAGAAATTAACACAAGATGCTTTTGAATATGCAAAGAATGAAAATTTCTTAGGGGTAAATTCAATAAATTTCTTCAATTTACTCGTATGCTTACCCTCAAACATATTTATAATGTTTACAACAGTAATTATATGAAACAACAAAGTATATATATACTTGTTCAAAACTTAATAATGAAAAGAATAGAGAAGACTAAGAATTATATTAACAAAAATACTTTATAATTTTAAAATAATGGTGTGTGACAAAATTCACAAATTTCTTTAGATTTCTAAGAATCAGTGTTTTTTTTTATAACCTGGAAATAAGTATTGGTGAAAATCAAGATGTAAAAAATCTTAGAATTTTTTTAAAAATGTTTTATATTTACATTTTGATTTCTATTAATTTGGACCAAAATATTCTTTTTAAGAATCATATTTTAATTTTCTCTCACTTTCATTTTGATTTGTAATAGTTTTAATTTGATGTATCACATGGTTCAACATATTAAAAGCATGTTTGATTTTTGGTTGAAAGCATTCTAACCTACGTTCATTTCAAAGATACAATTGCTGGCTTCTTACTGAACGAAGCCAACCAAATACAACGTTAATCCAAACACACTCAAACTTATTTGACAAAATGTAGTTTAAACTTTTTACAATTTTCTATTTACTTCGGCCATTTTTAAATTAAAAACTAATTGCATTAAGAAATTAATCATTGTAATATAAAAAAATAATGTTATATTATTTAAATAGTTAAGAAAAAGAAATAAACTTTATAAAATATCAACTACTTGAGGATTAAAAATAATACGAAATAGACGACGAACAAGGATCTGTGGAGTAAAAGTTTCCCCACGAACTATCATGGGTGCATAATTATTAACAAACAAGAATAATAATGTCAAATTGGTTGTTGGCAATTATTTAATTCATAATTTTCATTCAAACATAATCTTGACTGAACTGAATATTCTTGTTTTGTATTGTCAATTTGGTAAATTGAGCGCGTTTTGATTTGTATGTATGTGTATTATATTATATTTAAATTTGTTTTTATTATTTTTTGACCATAATATTCACGTCCATGTTCATACTAGCACGAGTTCTTATGTGTGGTGTTGACTAAACTGTTCTATAATCAAAGTCGAAGTTCTTTACAATCTTCACTTCAGAATCTCCCAAAAGACATTCTATGTAAACCATCTAATTTGATTTCACTTCAGATTGAAATGGTCGTACGTGAGATGAAATTAAAACAAAAAAAACAAAAAAAACAAAAAAACCCTAGACCCTTAAAAAAAAAGAATTTATAAAAGATAATTGATTTTAATAGAAGATTGAAAATATTTATAATAAAATTAGCTATTTGAATTGATAAGAATATTTTATATACTTTAAATAAGAGAATTTTAAATTTTACCTAAAAATTAAGAATGTGAAAATTGTTATATTTTTTTTTATAAATTATTGTTTATTCTCTCCATATATTTTATTTTGACTTAATCTTATTAAAAAATTTGGATTCATATCCACCTGTTTTAACATGGGCAAACTCAATTCAATATATATAAACATGGTTTAACTTGGTTTCACTTGACATGTCTTAACTTAATTTGAACCAACACGACATGTTTGATTATACTTGAACCATCCCAATGCTTGATTTGATCAATTATGTATTGTCCTAACTATATCCATTTTGACCCGGTCCAACCTATCTTAACATGCCTAACTTGATTGAACTTTTTCAAATCAAATTTGACTCAACTATCCAAAGATGACATAGCCTACCCGGCCCAACCTTTTCCACCTTGGCTCATTTTAGTCTGATTTGATTCATATTCATTTACTCATTTCTAACCCACCACATCTTGTCTACCCTTACCTAACCTATCTCATCTTCATTTCTTCTAGTAAGTTACGATTGACTTATCTCATCTTAACTTAATTTGACCTAATATAGTTTGATTCATTCTAATCCAATTTGACTCATCCCATCATAACTCAACTTATACCAATTTTTCAGTCTAACCCAACTTAATACAGTCTTTTTGACCTAGTTTAATTTGTTTTAATCAGACCTAACCTTACTAGCATTATCTTTGCCCTACCATGACCGTATCTAATATATCATTATTTATCTACGTCCAATCTAAACTATGTGAATAAAGATCAAGTAGTGTGAATTTAACTTAATTCATAAATATAGCAATAATAATTTTTATATTTAATAGTAGTTAAAATATTTTATAAAAAATTAAAATTAAAATGAAGTTGAATTTTCTTATCCAAACAAATTATTAAAAAAATTAAATAATCACTAGTGCAGAAAAGGGCTTTTACGTCACCCAATTATCGTCGCATGTAAAAATATTCGACGTAAATAAAACGCGGTGGCAATTTTGTAAATAAGGGACAAAACTTTTACGTCGCACACCCCAAAGACGCGACGTAAAAGGCCTCCTTTTACGTCGCGCCACCCAGGTGCGACGTAAAAGGGCTTTTACGTCGCATGTCGGGATGCGCGACGTAAAACGTCTCTTTTATTCCCTCCCCGACACACTCCTCGTCTTGCGCAACCAGGGTTTTTGAGAACGACGACGAGAACGACGACAACGACTACCTCTCGCACACCATTTTCGATCGGTTTTACAATGAAAAACATCTACATTGTGTGTCATTTGACGAACTTGATATTTCTCCCCGATTGGATTCGAGTTTGAAATCATTTTTCGTCTACACTCGAGGTTAGTGTTCTATGTCATTGCTATATGTTTACATTGAATCCGTGATTGTTTTTGGGGATCTCAATCACGTTATAGTATGAATTTCTCCATCTGGATTGTTATTGGAATGTAATTATTTGTTTATTTGTTTGAGTGCATTCGGTTTACACACTCCATTGTTGTTGGAATGTGCTTTGTTGTTTGTATATTAATTTCTTTTTACATATAATTTTTAAATCTCTAGGAGTGACGAAACTTTATAACATAATATGAATCGAAGTTGGATGAATGCACGTCGTATTAGTGAAGAGTACGAAAAGGGAGTTGAGGAATTTTGGAAATTTGCTAGTGAAAATGGAAAAGCTATGAAAGGGACATATTATTGTCCATGTGTTCGTTGTTTGAATCAAATTCGTCATAAACTTGAGGATATACGTGATCACTTGTTTGTTTATGGTATTATTAAGAGTTATACAATATGGATATGGCATGGAGAAATATTAGACATCCCAATCGTGTCAACTACGAGACAATTTTGATGAAGGGATGGATGATAATCTAGAGGATATGATACGTGATATTGGTGAAGAAAATTTTATGAAAGCACATCTATATGATTCTTTGAAATCTGATTTTGCGCAACAATTGTACATAGGATGTAGTTTTACAAGATTATCGAGCAACTTTAAAATTGTTTACTTTAAAAGCAAGAAATGGATGGATTGATAAAAGTTTCACCGAATTATTGGAGTTGTTGAAGGAGATGCTTCCTGAAGATAATACATTACCTATTCATAACTATGAGGCAAAGAAGATATTATGTCCAATGGGTTTAGAGTACAAGAAAATACATGCATGTCCTAATGATTGTATATTGTACAGAAATGATTTTGCTAAATTAAAGATGTGTCCGACATGTGGTTTGTCGAGGTTCAAAAACAAAGTTGAGGAAAGTAGTGGTGAGGAAGAACTAGATGGTCCCCCTGCTAAGGTGTTATGGTATTTGCCAATTATACCTAGGTTTAAAATATTATTTGCCATAAAAGAAGATGCAAGAAACTTGACATGGCATGCAAATGGTAGAAAATGTGACAATCTTCTTCGACATCCAGTTGATTCTCCACAATGGAAAAGGATTGATGAAACCTTTCCAGAATTTGGTGCAGAGCCAAGAAACTTGAGAATTGGATTAGCTACATATGGGATGAATCCTTATGGAAATTTAAGTAGTAAACATAGTTCATGGCCGATTATGTTGATCATTTACAATTTGCCTCCTTGGTTATGCATGAAGAGAAAATATATGATGTTATCTATGATGATTTTAGGACCTCGACAACCAGGAAATGACATAGATGTATATCTTAGTCCTTTAATTGATGATTTGATGATGTTGTGGAAAACAGGAGTGGATGTATTTGATTCATATCACGAAGTGAATTTCGAGTTGCGTGCAATGTTATTTTGTACTATAAATGATTTTCCAGCATATGGTAATTTGAGCGGTTATAGTGTGAAAGGTCATTTAGCGTGTCCTTTATGTCAAGAAGACACAAGTTATATCCAATTGAAACATGGACAAAAAACTGCGTACAATAGGCATAGAAAGTTTCTAGTTGCTAATCATCCATATCGTAAAATGAAGAAAGCATTTAATGGATGTCGGGAGAATGCAATTGCATCGGTACCACGCA